ATTTGATTTTATTAGATATATATTCAAGTACTTATTTTGTTGCCCACAAGTGTATATAGTCTATGCATATATATGGCGATATCTAACTGTGTGCGTGCTCCTCATGCGACGTCATTTGCAAATTTTTGTAGTGTGTCATAAATTATACGACTGGGAATTGCTTTTCTATAAAACGTGCGCATATTAAATAAATGTCAAAAATTGTAGCATTGCCACCCATACCCACAGCAACACTCCGATACACACACACACACACATACAGACACACACACACACACACACGTACACGACACAAAGCCGTGTGCAAACTGAAATTATGCGTGAGGAATTTGTTGCTGGCGGGTGTCCCAAAATTAAATTACGCGTAACATCATTGCGGGTTCCCTTTTCAGGGTATTAATGAGCTTTGCGCTGTTTGATAGATCTCAGCGTTTTCTTGTATATGTGTGCGTGTGCGTATGCGTGTACGTGTGCCACAGGTGCACAGGTGTGCTGAGGCGTACAGTCTAGGCGTAAACCGCTGCTTAAATCGCTGTCAATCATCAATCAGCTCTGCATTGACAACAGCTTAAGCACAATATATTAAATCAATAATGTTTACCTGATTTAAAGCTGCTTTACCAGGATCAGAATGTAATATCTCATCACATCAGTTTCTTTGCCAGTTGACACTTCTCGCTTCCAGCTAAGTTTTAAAGAATTTCAATACGCGCTTAACTTTAGCACTGCAATTATCTCTATACATTCAGACATCAATATATATCTATATACATATATATGCATATCTGGCATAGTCTGCGGTCAGGGCGCAGCTCGTTAGGCCATGAAGCAATCACCTCAGGCAGCTGGAATTCAGCGCTGTAACCACTGTCATTTGCTGGGATTGCCTCTAGAGTTTGCTGCTGAGCCATTTCTCCGCCTCTTGCCCTTTTCACGCCCTCTCCGCGTGCCTTTTCCTATATCTATTTGCAGTGACATCAATTGGCAGTTTAAATGCAAAAGATGAGGCCGCCATGAAATCGCAGCTAGACAAACGGACGGACGGACGGACGGATGGACTAGGACTACGATTTGAAGTAAAACTGGGAGCAGAGCTCAACGCTGTTCGCCATCATCATCATTTCATTGTCGTTGTTGTTGGTGTTGTTGTTGTTGCTGCTGTTGTTGTCGACGTCATCGTAGTCATCGTTGTTGCTGTCGTCAATTTAGCATTAATATTCCCACTCACGTACTTGGTTGTGATTATGCGACTACGACTACGACTACGATGGCTACGATTGCGGTTGGGGTCAGAGGGATTGGCGGGCTGTTCGAGTTGAGAAGTTGGAGGCGTGCTCCAGCTAGGGAGATCGTCAGTGAGGGCTGTCGTGCGGTTGGGTTTCGTTTTTTGGCTTGCCTTGCGTGCCGTTGGCGTGACAGTTAAAAGGCAGCATTTTGTTGACATTTGTTGATGTTTAAGGCATCGAAGAAGGAGTCAAGTAATTGCAACTACAACAACAGCAACAACAACAACAACAATGGCAAAAGACAATTTAATATTGTGTTAATGACTTTGTCAATAGTCGCGCTGGTGTTGTAGCATTTAAAACTACACTTCACAGCTAGCTGCCTGCACTTGTATATGTTTCCACATAATTGACTTTTAGCCTAACTCTCTCTCACTCTCTATCTATCTCTCTCTCTCTTTCTCTCGCTTTACAGTTAGCACAGTTGCCGTGGAGGCCGTGCTGGGACGCACCGCATCCTTGCCGTGTGACATTGAGCCAGAGGCAAAGGACGATCGCGTCTATATGGTCCTGTGGTTCCGTGAGAGCGCAGGCAAACCACTTTACAGGTAAGTGCAAACGCAAATGCCATTTACGCAGGTATTCAATTGTGAACATAAACGAAATGACAGAGTTTCCTGCTGCAAAATATGCGAGTCGATGATACCCTATAAACGGTTGAAGGATATTTGTGAAGCAGAGATTCTCAATATAAATTTTACCACAGAAATGAAAGGCAATTTAAACATATTAAATAATAAAAATAATTTATTTTTCCTAGCTATACGCATGGAAATTTTATAATGCAATACAACAATCAAAGAATTATAAATTATGAAATTTCCCGACAATTTTAGCAAATATTTAAAATCTTCTTAAAATATTAAATATTTTAAATATAATTTTCAGCTTATTGTATTGTGCGTCTATTAGGCTTATGTATTTTATTTGCCGTACATCACTTAAATTATTTATTATAAATCATTTCATTAGCCATGCGGCAGCTTTAAATATTCTCACTCAAATTCTAATATTAGAATTAATCCGACCATTTTTCTATAGAAACTCTAGCGCTGTGAAATAATTATGCCAAATAACTCATGCAAATTGGTTACAGGGGAATTCGCGCTCGCCGCACACGAACTCGCATTAATTATGATTCTATTTAGAGCTATAATGAGCACAGAGGATAAGAGACATAACTTAAATTCAATTTCAATCGGTTGGCGACAACATTTTAAAGTCTCTATGCGAGGTGTGTCTCAGTGTGTGTGTGTGTGTGTGTGTGCTGTAAACCTTTGGCAAGCGGCACTCAGTTAATGTACGGGCTAGCTTTTGATTTATGTTGAGGACCGGGGCAACTGTTCAGCACGTGATGAGAAATGGCGCCAGTTCATAATTTTCAAATAATTTATTATTTTAATAACATCATCAATATCAACTCAACTCGAGGCCCCAGAGTGCCTCTACGGGAAAGTGATGTGCCTAGGCCAGCGGCGACGGCAGTGGGTCAAAAACAAAAGCGAGCCGGGGCGAGGCCAAACGCTGCGACGTGAACTCATATATTAGCCGCAGGGCCAGAGGCAAAGGCAAAGGACATCAATGGCAGCCAGGCCAGCAAAATAATAGCAGCCAAAGTGAAAACTGTTTTGGTGGCAACTTTGATTATTTTAGGGCAAGAGCCGAGCCGGGGTCTTGCTGAGGTGTGCCACATGTGTGACTTTGTGTGTGTGTCTGTGTGTGTGTGTGTCCTTATGATGCTTCTGCTGTTATTTATAGAGCGGGCGAACGCTGTGAGCGTGTGCTTAGGTTTAATATGTTGCACATTATAAGCAGACATCGATATCCTTTAGCCTTGTCAATTTTGCTTACATGTGTGTGCTTCCTTCGCCAATATGTTGCCAGAGTCACGGCACAACGTGAGGGGGGCTAGGGGAGCTTGGCGACTCTAACAAGGGACAGGACTATGAACGCACGTGTATATCAAGGACAAGCGCGAGCTGTTCACGAGCTGTTGCTGTTGCTTGTGCTCCTGCGTCTCCTGCTATTCCAGCTGCTTCATGTGCTTTGTGTTGTTTTTGCCGCTGCCGCTGCCGCTGCTGCTGCTGCCTCGTGCACTCAATTGGAAGCAATAAATTTCAGTGCTGCACAGACAATGGGACAGCATCAGTGAGAAACTGAGTGAGGGGACAGAGAGAGAGAGAGAGAGAGCGAGAGAGACAGTGAGTGGAAAAAAATGTTTGCCAAAAACTAGGAAAATGTCGAAAACAATAATGTTGCAAAAATTTCCGACTTTATAACCAAAATATCCGAAAGTGATTCGAATTCGATTTCCCTTCCTTGAAAGCGAGCAGCAAAAAGCAAAGTAAGAAAAAAAATAAAAGAATACGGCCAAATAAATATAAGACAGTAAACAAGCGAGCAACAGTAACAGCAGCGACAACAACAAGACTAAGCCACAGCGGGGACAACGCTGGGCGAGGAGAGATGCAGGGCAAGCAACAAGAGCATATATATATGTATGTATAGAGGAGAGTGCTTGCTGGGGCTTCTACAAGTTGGGTTCTGCGGCATAAAATTGCCAGCGCTGCGTGAAATCGAAGGCAACTTCAGTTAAAAAGAAACGAGAGCCAAGAGCTAAGACCAAAAAGATGCCAAAATTGAAAGGCAGCAGGCGGGCCGGTATTTGTATGAGTGTCATATGTATGACTGTTTGTGCGTGTGTATGTGTGTGTGTGTCTGTGTGTGACTGCCCGTGTGTGCGCTTTCCGTTTGCCACATTTTGTAAGGATGTCACAGCTTGCAGTCCGGAACCAAGCCCGAGCCTTACCTAGAGCCCTGTCTAGGGTTCTCTCTGCATTTGACAGCTTCGCACCAACGACAACAGCAACAACATCAACAACAACAACAACAACAGCAACAAAAGCTCTCTTAGCCCCGCCGGGCCGAAAGGCAAAAAATATTAAAAATTATAATGTTAAAATTTGCTTTGTTGTCTGGACCAGCTGAGCTGAGGATTTTTTGTTAGGGTTAGGATACGTTTTATGCTTTGCCTTTTATACCACGCTCACAGGGCAAGTGGCTAAAAGGGGTATAATATATAGATATCAGGTAGAGACAGGGACTTATCGATGTGACTATAAAGTATATAAATTATGGATAGTCAGCAGTCATCGCAGTCCTTGTGTAGTAAATGGAAAATAGTTCATATAATATTGTAGCCAGCTTATAACTGTTTCTTAAGAAAGGCTTCATTCCAAAAGACTTCAACAGTTGACGACTACAGGGTATCTCCAAGCTGAGATCCATCTCCGGTTTTCCCTTTTTATGGTCCATACCTTTGCTGGGATTTGTTTCGGGCGCGATTTGACCCTTGAAATGCGATTTTCATCGGATTGTTTTTGTTCGCTTTCATATATTCAACTGTTATGGATTGTTGCGATTGAGTTTCAGTTGGCCGTTCGACATTCGTTCGACAAGAGGTCAGTCAGGCGGCGTTATTAAAATTAACATTTGCCATTTGGAGGGCGTGACAGGCAGCTGTGGCAGGCATTTAGCTGCCGTCATGTCATGTCCAATATTGCAAGTCATCAATGGCTACAAAGCAAAGCCAACAGCAACGGCAGCGGCAGCGGCATCGGCATCGGCATCGGCAAAAGCCGGAATAATAAACAAGAACAAAGGGCAGAGACAATGTTGGCCAGAGCTGTGGCCTCTGCGCTGCCGGCCATAAAAATAACGTATCGAGTATGGCCGCAATCAAGGTTAATTGATTTTTAAAGCCAGCGTGGTGCCCGGCTAACGGATTGGAGGGTTCCCTGCTGCTGCTGCTGCTGCTCCTCCTGCTGCTGTGGTGGGCTGTATTCGGGCTTAAATAATGAAATTTGCTGCACTGCAAAACGGCAGCTGTGCGTGTCGGCCCAAACGGCTGTTGTGGCTGTCAAAAGGCAGCCATAATCCATGTTACGGCCCACGCTAACTGCCATAATCGTCAGCGCTGGCCACTGGCCCATAAATACAAATATACACATGTATACACACATTGTATATATACATATGTATACATATATATAGTGGCCATGCAGACGGTGTGGCAATCGAAAGTGCATTCACTCCAGTCTCTGTCTGTGTTTGTGTGCATGTGCGCGCCATGCACTTGGCGCTCTACTTGAGAATCTGCCGGCCACAAAAGTAATAAACCACGAAATGGTATTCAAAATGGCTGGCAATAAAATCCACCAGCACCAGCAGGAGCAGCAGCAGCAGCAGCAGCAGGAGCAGCAGCAGCAGCCCGCAGGACTCGCCAAGTTGGCCAAAAGTCGAGCCAATGGCAATTAACTCGAGTGCATTTTCGGGGGCTTTACGAGCGAAGCATCGCGACGGCAGCGGCGACAGTGCGGCACAGCCAACGGCAATTGCAACTGTGCCGCACTTGGCGCAAATTCCAGTTAGATGGGTTATTTAAAACTGTAATTAAGTCGCCGCATATGTGCATGTGTGTGCGCGTGTATGCGTGTGCGTGTATGTGCGAACAACGGAAATGCACAGAGCACATGCAAATCGATTTTCAGCCACTAAACTTTGACTCGGCATTAATGCATTTCATCTACTGCCATTGCGGCCACGAAATGCTTACGACCTACTCTATTCAAATTTCCTAATGGACTTCTGTGGTGCCCGCAAACGATGCTCCATTGTTATATATTTTTTCATTGGGCTTTACCACAATCAATCTTTCATTTGGAGTAATTGAGATTTTATGCTGAGTAAACGGCTAAAAAGATTAGGTTTCTTTTTATAAGTTTTAAAGACTTTTGACTAGATCTTAAGAGACTTTTTTTGGGGGGAGTTGATAAGTCGATTGAGTTGATTAGTCTAAAAGCATCATAGTTTAAATGAATAGCAGAGGCTCATTTCAAAGTATATCAAGTGATAATTGCCAAGTATTATTGATCTCTGGAGAGAGAGAAAGAAAGCTGCTGATAAAAACTCAGTTAAGCGCAAAAGATTGACTCAAAGACAAAATCTTAACATATACATACATACATATATTCCGCGTATGTATAACTCCCATATCTTCAAATAACTCTCCCTCATGGCACATTGTGTAAGCTAAAACTAGAAAACGTTTAGCATAGATTGTGCAAGCTTTGGCAAACTACAAATACACTTTTAGCTATAAATAAAAGAAAAATAATCCAACTTAAAATGGAATAGCAAAAAAAGCCAAATAATTCAGCTAAACCAAACTGAATGCAGCTGAAAAACAAAAGCCTTTACAACAATATGAATTCATTTCTTTGGATCATGCTAAACTTTGGCGAAAATCAACAATCAACAACAACGACAACATTCGAGCAGAGAAAATGGGGAACGTGGCAAGATGAAAGTTTTATTTTGAATTTATTGCCGAATTTATTGGGCAACACTGCATAAATTTGAACTTGGCCATCATGGAGGACTTTACGTTTTATATACATATATGAGTGTGAGCGTGTGTGTGTGTGAGTGTGTGTTTGCTTATACTTCTTTTTTTTTTGTTCTTCGTTTTCATATATTCATATGCTACAAATTATATAGTAAAAGCAAAGAAGAAGAGTCAGCGAAAAGTAAACAAAACAAAAATAACAAAAAAACACCAGCGGCAACAATGTGCGGAATGATGCCAACAAATGTCAACACTGCGAGTGGGAAAACGTTGGGTTGGGATGGGCTGGGGAAAATTGGAGAAAAACTGTTGTTGGCAATAACAAAAGAAATTTACAGATATTACACAGCATGGCTCCATAATAATACCAATACATATGAAAGAAAAAAGCAAAAAAAAAAAAAAAGAAGCACAAAAACAAAAGGGACAGTAAAACCATTTGCATACGCATGTATAAGTGTATGTCAGTGTGTGAGTGTGCATGTGTGGGTGTCTGTGTGCATTGTGTATTGTGTATGAGGGCGTGAACAGCTCTTTTTTCATTCATATTTCTCGCCGCGATCTACGTTTGTTTTACTGTTTTTCTTTTTTTTGTTTTTTTTTTTCTTTCCTTCTGCTGTAGCGAACCAATTTAAAATTTGTTGCGAGTTTTGCGAAGTTCCGTTGCATACTTTTTGGCGCATCAGTTATGCTCGCTCTTACTTGAGCTTTATCTGGCGCTGCTTATGTTGGTTGGCTTTTTTCTATAAATTTGATACGGGCATACGACCTAGCAATTGCCACCTGCCTAATATGGCAAAAGTTGCCACAAACACAATTCACCCTATTTGCTGAGGGCCTTTGCCTGGCGCCCTCATAGTTTACCGACTTTTGTCTGGCGCTGCATAATTAAAGTCAACAGTTTTTTTCTCTGTTCTCTCGGAGCTGGGGTACATGTGTTTAAACTGTCGAAAAAAAAGGAAGAAAAAATTGCCATCAGCCACACGAGGCAGCCAGGATGCGGGACAGGGACTCACTCTGACACATATTGTCATAAAATTATTCAATGGTTATTGTCATCGTCATCACACACACACACACACACACACACACACACACACACGTAAAGGCACATATACATATGTATATATATGTGAAGTTAAAAGTTTTTGGACCCTTATTTTGTAACGTCGCCTTCGTACCCCCTACAGCCCTTTTGCAATTTTTTCGAATAGCATTTCGTAAGCGTTGCAAAATAAAAAGGCAAAAACATTAAATGGCAATATGAGAAGGCCCTTTATATACACATATGTATATAGCCACACATATATTGGATTAAGGTAGGAAGCGTGGCTACCGACATATGCGTTTAGAGCTTGGGCGTTGCCAAAAACGAAGAAGAAGAAGAAAACAAAACGTAATTACCAAACCATGTCCAGAAGGTCTTCGAGGGATTTGCGCGCTCGTTTTGTTTAAATAACGTGGCTCATTCATTCGAGCAGAAGATAAAGTGCTACCAATTAACGCAAAATAAATAAAACTCAACTAATTGTTGCCAAAACCAGAGAGATTGCAAGAGACAGAGAGAGAGAGAGAGAGAGAGTGGGGAGGGAGTGGGGAGGGACTTTGGACAAAAGAAATGAACGAGCATCAGTCTGAGCTGAGGTTGGACCCTAGGCAAACTCTTCAAAAAAAAAAAAAAAAAAAAAAAATTGACAGACGCACGGACGTCCGCCCACTCGGCCACTTGGCCGCAACCGACGACAGTCGACATTTCTGCAACTGCCACAATGTTGTCGTGTCTACGTTTTTCCTGCCAGCTCGACGCTTGGCCCACTTCTATTTTCCTTATTCCTCTGGCCGCCATTTTCTTTACAATTTTTACTGCTCGAGCATTTTGGCAGAACGTTTTCTTTTGCTTTCTCTCTTCAATTTTTATTTCTTGTTGTTTATTTTTTGCTTCTTCTTCTTCTGTTCTTTTTGCTCATTGTGCAAACTTGGCATTATTGTTTCCTAAGGCCAACAACGAAGAAAACACAACGTCAACAGTGCCTAGGCTGGGTCATGCCCAGTCAGGCCATACGACAGCAGAGGACAGACAGTATTGCCTGTTGGGCTGCTCCCTCACCGGGCAATCCGCACCTTGCCTTATCGCCGCTGTTGTTCCCCTTTGTTGACTAGTCGGCGTTGTCTATTGTTTGCGTAGACGCCAAATTAAAATCAGCCACGACAATCACAGCACCCAAATGCTGCGTTCAAAACTACTTTGTATACCCTGTACGTTTCAAATTCAATCATTTGCAGAAGGGGAACATTGTTTAGGGCTAGCATATGTTGCTTGCATATGAGCTCTTAAATGTCTTC